CTGAAACAGCGTTATACCGAGCTCAACACTATCAAGACTTTATCACCGAAGACAACTTACACAACATATTAGAAAACTTTCAGCTGTAAATTGTACATTTTAAAGTTGTAGATTTCTTTTCCTTTTTTCTTTTTTGGGCATAAGACTTCGTGTCATGGGCCCTGGTGTACATACTATTATTCAGGCTGTTCTTTATGAATAAAGCCCTTGCCACCTCATGCAGTTCAATAAAAGGCATCATAATCAACAGGAAATACCTTGGTTATTGAAAAGATTTTCTAGAAATCTTTGAAAGTACAAGAATATTTTTTACTATTCTGAAATAAAAAATCGTATTGAGCAGGTAAAATATAGTATATCTTGATATCCTGACATAATTGGGATGGATCTTGAATAGATTATGAATTTTTTAATTCTACTCAAAAATAGGCAAAAATGGGTTATTTCATCTAATATAGGTTTTCACTAGGTTTTTGCACGTTTTTTGAAAAACAAATGTTGCCACGAGATTCAGTGTGGTCAATTATCTATGTTTTCATCATTTTCGGAATTATCACAACTAAAGAAATTTTGATCCTAGAACTCTCAGAAAATCCGATACCACGTCTGGAGCAGGAAAAATTAAGAGTTCACTTAGTTCGCATTTTGGAGAGGACACTTTGGACTATCTATCTATGCAAAATAACTGATAGATCGCTATCTCAGTTTGTGAAGATCCGAAGTGGTTTTTCAAAGATCCTCTCAAAAACCGACTTAACATTTTTTTTCGAAAACCATTTATGCTTGTGAAAACATGGCTTCAGGTCTCTTCGTACTATCACTAAAAGCCGCAAGTCTCTTGCTCTTTTCGTTCCTGAGCTATTCGAAAATTAGCCGACTGCTTTGTATTTTGGAACGGATAATAGCATTTATTTTCTCGTATGGTGGAAGATTGCTGCGAGGATAAAGTAATCTGATTTTCAAAATAATACGAGAAGTCTAATATAAATATAAAACTTGTTTTTACTCTTTCGTGCATACGTTAGGTTGTGTTTGGTATTAGTCATTCTTCTATTCCATTTACATGAAGATCTACCGCATGAAACGGGATGTACCTCATTTGAAACACAATGTTTCGTTATTGAGAAATCTTGGAGCTACGGACAGCTTCATTTTGGTCACTGTTGTGGCGACATCTCACAAACCATGAACAATCGAGCCAAACAAAAGGTTTCGTTACCATACTTTCACAAGATCAGCATCTCTGTTGTTTGGTTAAGATCGGACTTATAAAAATCAGGCTCTGTTAGGCTCTAGCCACATATCACCTTCAATTTAAGACCTTTGCAAGCCTCTGCGGTGTTTCGTTACCGAGAAACCTTAGAGCCACGAAATGTCCTATAAAAATAACATTACAAAATCTGAAATAGCAGGGGTGCGCATGGCTGCCAGATCCGGTACCCCTGCCAAGAAAATGCCAAATGGATGCGCGTCCCTGCAGAAAAATGTCGGACAAAATGCCTGAAAAGATGCTGATTAGATGCGCATTCCTATGGAAGAGTGCCTAGAAAAAGCTGAAAAAAGCTTATTTTGCATCGTCGGGATTATCTGAGTATTACTGTATCACAACGAATTCCATTGCTCCAGGATGTTGTGTGGATGCCACATCACAATGGAACCCACGAGTTATACTAATAGATTCTATTATGATGCGGCATTAGTAGTGCATCCAATACTGTGTTCGCGGTCTCATCTTCGAACACTGAACCTTCGTGTGATACGCGATACGTTAATAGTAATTTCTACAAAAAGGCTGGATGCGGCACCATAAAAAAGATCAGACAGGGACCTGCGCATCACTGCACAGGGCCCGCTGGGTATCACTTCGAAGGACCTGTGTAACTTCACTGCGTCTGAAGAAACGCGTTTAAATTAAGAAAGACGCGTCTAAACGCGTTATTTTCTTAAAAATGGACTACTTTTAATTGAAATAAAACATGCGGAATGTGTCCGAAATTGAGTCATAATGAGTACCGCTACAATTAGTCAATATCAATTTTACGTCAAAGTACTTATTTTTGACACCAACAATATTTTTTATTCAAAAGATTGTTTCATTAAGTTTTTTTGAGCAGTTTTGATTTTATTTCGTAAACCTAAAGCAAAAACGAATTCTAAAAAATAATGGAAATCACAACATATGTGAGGCACTAATACATACAAAACTTCAAATATGCGTCTTTTTTCACAAAAATACCTTAAAACAAAACAAACAAATTCAGATCAACAGTAACCTGAATTTTAATGAATATAAAAACTAAAGAGTGCAGAAGTACAACAGATAAACAACATGCATAATAGTACAAAAGTAGCACTCACATTTGCACGTGAACGCATCGTTATTTCCCTGAAAGTTCCATTAGGTGCAAAAAATCATTTCTGATGATTAATATAAAGTAAAAGAGAAAAATTAAGGCTTACATTAAGAGAGGAAAAGTTTAAGAATCAACAATGGTCAAAAGTTCATCAATATTTGTTTTTCTATGACGTGCTACATGTTGTCTCAATCGTGTTCGAAATACTTTAGCGCGAACAACATTTCGTTGTCGTAATTCATCTCATTCCTGTTGTCGTCTTCTTTGATTCACTTCAGGTAATTGATCATATTTCTTTTTTGTTGCCTGTTTCATTGCTTGATAGTTTTGAAATGGACGATTAAATGTCGGTGATGGAATATTGTAGCAGATATTATTACTACGCCTATCTGCCCTTGTGGAATGTGGACGATTTTTATGATGATTCGTCGTTTGTTTTTGTTGATCGTAAGCGGATACTGGACGCTTCTTATGCTGTATTTTGTCGCAACAGTAACACGAACGATGAGATTGTGGTCGTGGAGATTGAAATAATAATTGTCGTTCGTAATCGAATTCAGCATTATGTTGACGTTCTTCGCGCAACAACTTTATTCTTCTTACACGTTGTCGTGAACGAGATATAAAATCTGGTCGCGATAATTCAAGGGCTTCTTGCAATGTCATTAGATCTTCGTTATGATGATGTTGATATTTAACTGGGCTCAACGAACGATTTCTACTTTGACGTGCCGGCGAAACAGATCGATTTCGTACGTTAGGTTGTTGATCTGTTTCTCTACAATTCGTCGATGACCGATAACGTCGATTATTATTAGTAGTAGTAGGATAAGAATACGATGATAATGGTACTATCGGATGATAAGATGAATCTAGTACGGAAGCACGTTGACGTTGAGCCTGTAAACGTCGTAGTAAACTGTCACATCGTTGTGCTAAATCGGCCAACTCTGGATCATCATCATATTTTCTTGACCACTGGCGAGATGATGATGTTGTAGGTAAAATTTTTGTATCATCGTTCGTCGTTAAGGGTGATCTCCAGTTGTAAGAGCTATCATACTGATGATCATATCGTGTATTATCTAACGGTAGAGTGCGATTAGGCGACACATAAGTTTTATATTGAGGAATATCTTCCTCAATATGATTTTGATCGTTCTCATTTACAAATTTTCCAGTTCGAACAAAATTGTTCAATCTTTCGTAAAATTTTTCATCACGTTTATCACCAAAAACGTTCTTATTCGATCTTGGTATTTGACTTACAGATGATGCTGACGTATTATCCTTATCATAAACGTTTATTTTTATATTGACTTGATCGGGCGTTATTTTTTTCTCATATTCTATCGGTATCTCCTTTGACTCATTCTTATTCCTCCTTGGCTCATTCCTATTACTATCATCAACATTTTTCGGTGTTTTTTCAGGAATTCGACTTTTAAATAATTTCACATTGTCATTATTTTTCAATTGTTCTTTTTCTTCTTGTTGTTCATCGAATGAAAACGTTGTTGTTTTTTGGCTATGTCGATGGTTTGATTTATCACCATTCGTTGTTAAATTTAATGTATTTCGTGGAGTTTTATCTTTGTCATCGTCTACCCATTGTGCAATAATTGAATGATTTTTTCCATTAACTTCATGTTTTCTCTCATTTGATGATGAATCTGATGCGGTTGTTGTCGATTTTTTCATTTGATCCGCTTCGCTACTAGTCCAATCGCCTGCTAATAGTTTTTCTACCTTGTCTAATAACTGTCGTTTATTTAACGGATTTTCTTTTGTATTTTGTTCTACGTGCTCTTTGTTATTATTATTAATATTATCTTCACCTTCATCATCATCGAGTGAAATAAAAAAGTTTTGTTGTTGCGACGTCGGCTTTTTTTTTGTCGTTCTTTTACGATGATCTTTCTTATCATTTTTTCCGTTAACATCATTATTATGTCTCAAACTCGATGTATAAGTTGATAATCTGTTTTCATTATTGATATTGTCTCTTCGATTATCACTTGTTTTAACTGCATGATTTATTTTTGTTAGAGTTGTTTCATGTAATAATTTTTCAGCTTTTTTACGTTCATGTCTTGTATGTCGCTCTAACTTTTGTAAACGTTGTTCATTTTGTTGACAATCACGTACAATAGCTTCTAATAATTCTACCGATGGTTTCTGATATGTGGTTTCATTTTCATCTGACATTGTAGTTTTCATTTTACAAAGCAAAATCACATGTTTTTGTTATTCTATAGTGTATAAGTAAGTGGAAATACAACAAATCGATGATATAAATGGAACAACAATAGGAAAATGAGATTTAATCCTAAACAAGGCAATACCGTAAGATCAAAAAATTAAAAAAAAGTTGGTTCAATTTTAAAATCTATTTGATGTATTTTATCCTGTGGAAGACATAAGAGTTAAGTAAAATGTAGATATATGTATAAAATACGACAATACGTAAATAAAAAAGAATTTTTTTCGTTTTTTTTTTTTCTGTTCTATTTTTTTTGAAAACATAAGCGTTATGAACGGTTGCGGTGAGTTGTTCCGTCAGCCAATTTCATACACATAGATCTTCCTTGAATTAAAACAAGAGTAGAAAAAAGAAAAGAAAAAAGAACAATTTATAAAGATAGATGTGTATATATGTATATTCGGAACAGAAACGAGGTGAGCCTTAGCAACCATCTCACTATTGTATGCGAGTGGTAGTGGTGAAACTTCTCTAATTCAAACAGATGAAAAACATAAAGACATGAAAAATTGAGTGAATGACTGTAATAAAAAGGCTTTTTCGATTTTGAAAACTATATAATCCATTTGTAATCGATTAAGAAAAAGAAGATTGTATCACTAAAACAAATAGAAATTGGCCATTTAAATAGTACAATGTTGTAGTAATATTATGGCTTATATTTCTAAATACGATTTAAAAAAAAATATATGTGATATTTCGCTAATGAAACTTTCAGAGAATATTCATCTCCATCATTTTTGCTAGTTTAAAAGAATTTATTGTGTCTATTCAATAAAATTTCAACTACTTTTCCTGAATAAATCAAATACTTTTTCAAACATATTCATATTATCAAATTAAGTTAAAGTTGTAAGCATAGATTCAACAATTAGGATAGCAATTAGTATATTATGTATTTATTTTGAACATTATTCAAGTATTTTACCAGTTAAATACAAAAACATACTATAGAAAAAATAGAAACCATTTGAGTTTAGATAAAATTTTTATTATTGTGTTTCAACACATGCCTGGCAAATACGTTGCTGTTCACTGTTGATTTTATAATCATGTCCAAATATAATTTTACCACATCGAAAACCTACAAGAGAAAGAAATAGTTCATATGATTATGAATAAAAAATTTATTATTTATTTCTTACATCGAAAACATCCAATATGATATGATCTATCATTAAATATTCTTGATTGTGTACCGGAAGCAAATGGTCGTTGACAAATGGCACACAATTTAGCAAATCGTTCTATATGACAACTAACACAATATGGTTTCTCATTGTTTTCCACATAGAGAACATTTGATAACTGTTCTTGGCAGGCTTCACAGCAAAAACATGTTGCATGCAAAGTTTTGTTTCGATATTGTACATAACTACCATCAATTTGTTCATTGCAGGCTGAACATGTTATAATTTCTGCTAAGCGTTGTTGACAATCGTTACAACGATACTCATTATCCGATAGTGCATAAAAAGAATGTTTGATAATTTGATCACACGTATTACAAACAAAACATCGCTGATGGTATTCTAAATTATTGTATTTTGATTTTGTATCTCCATTTACAAATGATTTTGAACATTTTGCACATCTATTCATTATGTATTATTTAATATTGTAGATAACGAGGCTTACACTGTGCAAATATTGCTCTAAAGTGCAAAATAATGAAAAAAA